TCGGCCTCGAGCGCAGTGCTCTGTCTTTCTTTGTGGCGACTTTAACTATCCTGTGCAGGGCGAGGGCAGCTGCCAAGTGTCGGGGGGGCTCGTTCACCCCACCCACAGCCTTGCCAAGCTTTTTGATCGGCTCTTGGCGCACCTGGTCGAGGTTGAACAGCCGCAGTTCACACATCGTGTCGAAGGGTACGTCGAGATGCGCAAAGTGGTCCTCTCGCTCGGGCGCCTCGACAGAATCTACGCGTCGATCCCTGCTAGCCTGATCCTGGACCTAACCCCGAGCTCGGGAACGATCGGCTGTGCAGCAGACCTCGCCACACTCTCTGATCACGTGCCTGTGTTCCTGGCCCTGGCGCCCCCCGGCCTCAGCGGGACCTCGAATGTGCAGCCCTGGGCCTCCAAGCACAAACTGTTCCCCGCGGTGTTCAAGGAGGTTTTGCAAGGAGGAGGTGATCTTGATGATGATCCGATTCAGCGGGTGGAGGAGGTACGCAACGCAATCCAGGTAGCAGCTAAGCACTTACTAGCCAAGCTTGAGCAGAAGGGCGCCAGCTCGTTGCCCGAGTGCATCTCCTGGTCTCTAGCTGCTATGCGAGCCGAGAGATCCAAGGCCCCAGGTGTGCTGCGCAGGGCTGTGAAGGCCTACCCGACGCTCCAGCGGTTTCTCAATGTCGAGCTCTGCGTCTACTCGAATCTTGTGGGCTTCCACGCGTTTCTAGCGATTAAGCGCCAGCAGATCGACGATCAGATAGACGAAATTCAGAATGACATGAACATCCCCTCGGCCCAAAAGAAATCCACTATGAGTAAGCTCTACTCTTGCAGATCGGCGTGGAAGGGACGCGGTGCCCAGATCTCGCTGCAAGCTATAGCCGACCCGCTCGGGGCCCCCATCTTCGACCCAGTTGCGGGCGCTCGTGAGCTCGCGCAGCACTGGGGAGCTGTGCACTCTGCTGTTGCCGTTCAGCCTGCTGCGCTTAACGATTTGCTCGTACACGTGCAGAGAGTTCCTCAGGTAGTAATCTGGAGGTTGGAGGAGGCGGAGTTTTTGGACATGATGAAGAGACCGCGTGACAGCTCCCCGGGGCCGGATGGGATGCCATACTCAGGGTGGAGCCGAGCGGGGGAGGAAGGAGGACGGGCCTTATACAATCTGTACGAGCACATCCTTGATGTTGGCGAGTGCCACCCCGAGTTTAATTACGGCCACAACATTTTCCCGGCCAACGGCGATGATGAACACGATGCTTCGCTCTGTATGCGCGCGCCTTCGGTTACGAGGCCGCTGACTATGTCGTGCACCTCGAATAAGCTTGTCTCGCTTGCCCTGAACAGGCCGCTGGCTGCCATCTGCAGATACTCGTGCATTAAGGAACAGAGAGGCTTCGTGGGAGGGAGGAATATGAACGCGAACATACTTGAGCTCGAATATCGTGCGTTGCACTGGTATGTCCAGCGCCTAGCCACTGCGTGCGGCATCGTGCTGCACGATGTGCGCGCGGCCTTCCCGAGTCTGCTTCACGAAGCTATGTTTGCCACTCTGCGTGCCATGGGAGTGCCAGGTTATTTCGTTCGTGCCGTTCAATGCCTCTACACCAATGTCTGGATTGCTATATCGCATCGAGGCATGCACCAGGATGTAGGCTACTGGCTCTCCCGCGGCATCAAGCAGGGCTGTCCTGTTAGTGGTTCGCTGTTCGCGCTCGCCGTCGACCCCGTGCTACGGATGATTTGCCTCCTGCTTCCTCGTCCGCTTCGCAGTCTGGGGGCTCTCGCTGATGATGCGGGGATAAGCTCGGGGGACATTGTCGAGGCGTTCGTTTCCAGCATGTCGGTGTGGGGCCTCGCTGGGCCTGGTATGGGCCTTTACATCAACGTTGAGAAAACGGTGATCGTCCTTCTGGGGATCTCGGAGGCAGATTTTCTTGCTGCACTCGGGGCGCGCGGGCTTCAGGCTGCTGCGCTGGGCCTTCAGCTGCTCCCTCAGGGGCGTTATCTTGGCATTCGTCTGGGACCTGATAGTGTGTTCGACTCCTGGGAGCCCGCCCTTAAGAAGTACGTCCAGAGGATCCAGATGATTCGAGGCCTCGAGCTGGGCCTCACGAAAACTGTTGCGCACTACAACTTGCTCGCGTTTTCTGTGCTCACGTTCGTCGGCCAGTTTTTGGAGCCCGCGGCCCGCTGCCTGAGCCTGGAGCGTGCTGGCCTGCAGAAGCTCACCGTGGGGCCGAACAATGCGATCACAGCCTCGCTGATGCAGGGCATGACGCAGCTGGGCTTTCCCCTGGACGCCAGATCGTTGGAGCGCACCAGCCGAGCTGCCAGATACCGTGCTGCCTGCTACTCCCCTGCCTTTCACGAAATCCGACGGATGCTTGCAGAATTCTCAGAAGATGATGAGTGTGTAATCAATTGGCGTCTGCATCCCTGGTGGAAAAGCAGCATCTTGTGCTCGATGATTGAGAATTTCGAATTCCTGACCAGTATCCCGAGCGTGCCGAGGGATGAGGTGCCGCTTCAGAAAAGACGGAGCTTTTCTTGCGTGAACTCTTCCCTCGTTCTGTGAAGCCCCTGCTGCTGAGCCGCCTGCACAAACATGACCCCCATCTGCGCTATAGCGACCTGGATATTGTTTTCTTGGCCTTCAGGAGGGCCGCCCCTCTCGTTCCTCCCTCGGTCCTCGCCTCGCTCCTGAAAACTGTGTGTAATGCCTGGTGCACTTCTGGGCGTTTTCGGAATGCTACCCAGGACTGCCCGTTTTGCGGCCTGCGCGCCGCCGACACCCTCAAACGCGTGCTTGAATGCCCGAGGCTCGACATCATTGGGATTTTCCTGCCAGAGCTCCCTTCTGCGTTCTGCTTAGTCCCTGGTGCCACCAGAATTCAGATCTATAGATTTTTTCCTCTCGACAATCGTGCTCTGTTGTCTATCCTGTTGTAAATCGATGCCTGCTTTCATTGCTATCATACCTGTCGCCATCGCCCCGCGTCGCCCGTCGCGGTGGCAGGGGCCCGTTTTCAGCAGGTCTGCAGGCAGCAGGCAGACCTGTCCGCGCTGCTTGGCGCGGCCCCGCAGGCGCCCCCGCTCGCGGCTGCCCGCGAGGGGGGGTAGGGCTGGTGGCGGCGACGACGTCTTGCCCTCTTCTCGCTTCTTGTCCGCTTGCCCTCTTCTCGTCCCTCTCTTTTGGCCAGCGTACTCCTCCCCTCCTCCTCCTCCATCTCCTCCTCTCCCCCCCGCCTCCTCCTCCTCCTCCTCCTCCTATCGCTTCCTCCTCCTCCTCCCCTCCTCGTCCTCCTCTCCTCCTCCTCCTCCTCCTCCTCCTCCTCCTCCTCCCCCTCCTCCTCCTCCTCCTCCTCCTCCTCCTCCTCCTCCTTCTCCTTCTCCTCCCAGTCCTCAGACGTCAACGTCCTGACCTCGTCCCGGCCTCCCGCCGCGCGCAGTTGGAGCGGCGTGCTACGTATGTATCCGCCTGCAGGGCGCTGGGGCCGCCCCGCGACGCGCGCAGCAGGCGTTCCCGACGGTGCGACAGGTAGTTCTTTTTTACAGGCTCGCGCAGACGCTTCGGTTCCTTTCTGCCACGGGGAGATCGCTGTCGCTGTCGTGGACGCCGGCTTTCCCGCACGCGGGCCTGGCGGCGAACTGGCAGGCTCGTCGAGAGGTGGGCTGACGCGCAGCCCATGCATCATCTGGCCGGCTGCATCGCCGCTCTTCACCATCCACGGCCTGCCCACGCAGTTTTCTTTGTGACTGCCGGCAGGGGGCCGCTCCCGGCAGGGAGCGGACGTCAGGCCTCTCTCTCTCTCTCTCTCTTTCTCTCTCTCTCTCTCTCTCTCTCTCTCTCTCTCTCTCTCTCCTTGTGCCACGGGGAGTTGAAGCCTCTATCCGTCGATGCGGCAGGCACGATAGGTTGCCAACGCTCTGCGGGCTGTCCATGAAAAACTCCGCCCCGACGGGGTCGGTAGCCCCGATGCCGCGCAGGACGCGCGCGATTAACTGTAAGTCGGGCGTGTGCCTCTACAGGAAGAATCTCCAAAAATAGTTAAAAATAGTTTGGGGGCGATGTTTTGAATATCTGTGAGCTTTTTGGGAGCATTTCCGGGGTACGTTCAGTTTTTCGCCCAAGATCCCCCTGTAGGGGGACAGGCGCGACCCAAGACTAGTTTGTGTCAAAGGGGGCGTGCTGCCAGATGCGAAGGAGCGCGCGCCCGTGCAGCGCCCCTCACCAAACGGGGGGGGCCTAGCTGCAAGCTACCCCCCCCCCCCCCCGCCCCTGGAAGAGGAGGGGGCATCCGAAGCTTCAAGCAGTGGCGAAGCGTCCTGGCTCGCTCATGGCCCTACCAAACAATGCTCTTGTTTTAACACATCGGGTTGATGTTCTAAGAACATGTTTGTTCTTAGCACATTTTGGGATCCTAAAAACATTTCGTGGTAAAACGTCAGAAACAAAAAACATCTGTTCGCTTCGATGAGATTTATCGTGGATTCCCCGCGGCTGATCCGGGCCATGTGCGAGTAGGTACTTTGCGAGTAGTGGAACGCGTTCGTCTATACAGGGGGGCGGGGGCTTCCGAAGCTGCCCCATCCTTTCTTCTTCTGTTTGGCTTCTGTAGCCGGGGTGTCCCGGGCTTACAAATGGGACGGGGGGCCTGGCAGCCTGCCCCCCCCCTTCCCCCCTCTCCCCTCACCCCCTGCACAACTACTCAATATGAATACTACTCTCCCTCTTCCCCGGATGACGGTTTGAAAGTGTCCGCCCCCCCCCTCGCGTATTGTTTTTACACACAGGATTCCCCGGAGTTGGGCTTTCGCTTGCAATTTTTGTTCCAAATTGCTGCTCTCGCTGAGGCGCCGGCCTCATTTTCGGGCCCCGCTCGTTCCGAATCGTGCTCCCGCTGCAGCGCTGGCCTCATTTCCGTGCTTCCGCTCGTTCCGAATCGTGCTCCCGCTGCAGCGCTGGCCTCATTTCATCGCTTCCGCTCGTTCCGACTCGTGCTTCCGCTGCAGCGCTGGCGTCATTTCCTGTGCCATGCCACGGCATGCAATGCAATGCTAGGTTGGTACTACGCTTTGCGGTGCTCTTCTACGCCATGCCACGCCGTGCTCTACAATGCATCGCGTACCTTTTCGGGATCATTGCCCTGCTCGACGTCCGACTGTGCGAGTAGAGAGGGGATCTACGCCATGGTAAGGGATGTAGGGAGGGGTAGGATGTCAGATATGACGCTAGGCGCGCCTAGCTTGCCACTCCCCCTTCCCCCCTCACCCCCCCCCCCTCGCCCCCCTCCCCCCTCCCCCCTCCCCCTACCCTGCCCCGCCCCCTCGCCCCTCCCCCCCTTTGGAGGGGGCCGGGGGTTATTCAGCCCGGGCTCCCCTTCCCAAAGGGGGGGGGGGCTTGCGCAGCTACCCCCCCCACCACTCCTTCGAACTACTGGCATTTCCAGCTCGAGGGCGGCGCCGGCGGAAAGGGGGGGCTTCGAAGCTACCTTTCCCCTGTTCGGTTTTCGGCGCATCGTTGGTTTTCGGCGCCCTCCTAGTTTCCGGCGCCCCGTTGGTTTTCGGCGCCTTTTTGGTTTTCGGCATTCTGTTGGTTTTCGGCACCACTTTGGTTTTTGGCGCCCCTTCGGCTTTCGGCGCCGTGGTGGTTTTCGGCACATTTTCATTTTCGGAGGCCCCTTTGTTTTCAGCGACCCTTTGGCTTTCGGTGCCCTTTTTGTGTTCGGCGCCCTCTCGATGTTCGGCGCTCCTCTGGCGTTCGGCGCCCCTCTGGTGCTCAGCGCCACTTCGGCTTTCGGTGTCCCTTTGGTGTTCGGCGCCCCTCTGGCTCTCGGTGCCCGATTGGTTTTCGGTGCACTCTTTGGTCTTCGGAGCCCCCGGACCCGACGCGGTGTCGAAACGGCTGGCCGGCGCGATGGGGCAGAGGCGGTCTCCCGAAGGCTGCAGCGCATGGCAGCGGGCCCAGCCGCAGATTTTTTTTTTTGTTCCGCGGGGGCGCGCGGGCCGCCCTGCCGCCGCCCTGCCGAGCAGCTCGGGAGCCGGGGGCCCCCATGGCAGCGAGGGGCCACCCGCAGCGGCGTCGCGGGTCACCGACCTGGCCGTCGTGCCACTCGAGCAGCGGCAAGGCGTGTTGGCTGGCCTATAGGCCCTCCAGGGCATGTTCTGAGAGCCTCACGTGGCCTGCACGAGACATGTTCTTAGGACGTGTCTGGCTGAGACCGTCTCGTTTCGCTTCGTGTTCGTGTTCTAAGAGTGTTGTATTGTGATTAGAACTTGTCTGGGCTCTAGCATAATATTTCGTGGCAGGCTTACAGGAATGCCGGGACTGCCAGCCCCTGCTCAAGCAATGACATCCGAAGATCTGGAAACATCAGGGAAAAAACAATCAGAAGGGAAGAACACACACAGACACAATGAATCGCCGATTCCCAGGAAAATATTGGAAACTATGGGAAGTGGAGGGGAAGACAAAAACCTAGAAAATATAGGAAAATATAGGGAATCCTGTTATTTGTGTGTATTTGTGTGTCCTGGGGCCCCTTCATGTCAGGCGGCACAACCAGACCCGCTCGGAGGTCCGCGCGGCTTTCTGGCATCGGCGTTGGGCTCTTCTAGCGGTTCTCTGATAGCAGTAAGTCGGGCCTGTCCCTCTACAGGGCCCGGGGGATATTCAAAAAAATTGGAAAAAATAGTCTGGGGACGATGTTTTGAGACTGTTTTGCCCATTTTGGTGTATTTTTGACTATTTTGAACTTTTCGTCCAAAATCCCCCTGTAGGAGGACAGGCCCGACTTCATGATAGCATGCCGCGCCGCCGGTTCAGCCCCACCACGCGTCGGCGCGACACGCCGTCCTCACCCTGGTCCCCGAGCGTCAACGTCCCGAGCTTCTCCCGAACCTCCCGCCCCGCGGAGCGGAGCGACACGCTACCAGCTCGCAGGGCGATGCGTACAGCCGGGGCCGCCACCGCGACACGCCGATCAGAAGTTCCGGACCGCAGTGCGGGCTCGGCCGTGCGTGTCCGGCGCCATTGGCTTGCAGAAGCAGTCGATGCACAGGCCGCTCGCCGAGCTCGACCTGCAACCGGTCCAGGTCTTGACGGCGCCCAGGACGAGGGCGGCGAGCATGCGCCACCTTCCGAAGTCCCTCACCCTCTCACGGGGCACCACGAGGAGCGTCCGCCCCCGACCGCGCCGCCGACGTCGTCGTTGTGCTCGTGGTGCTGCCGCCGTCGTGCTCGTCGACCTCGTGCCCCTCGTCGCTTTCCTCCTAGTCCTCGCCCTTGTCGTCCTAGGCGGCGGCGGCGGCGTCGTCGTCGTCGTCGTCATCGTCGTCGTCATCGTCGTCCTGGGCGTCGTCGTCGTGGGTCCTCGTCGTCGTGAGGGCGCTCAGTGGTGGGCAGCTGTGGCCTGGCCACGGCGGCAGGGCGCTGCGGCTCGATCTCTCGCGGCGCGAGCACGAGGGCCCTGGGCCAAAATGGCCACGTGGAGGGAGGGCGGAGGGGGG